AAATGGTTATCTTTTTTTAAATAGCTGCTTAGCTACTAACTATAATTTTCATTTCTTCTAAAAGATATTGAAACTTTTTTCTTTCTAGACTAGTAATAGAGCATTTAAAAAAATAATACATTATTTTTTTATAAATTTTTATATTCTTGACAAGTTGATTTCAAATATACTGTATTTCAAGTTTTCTTTTTTTAAAACATCTGAAATATAGGCAGCTTGTCATATGTTAAGTTCATCAGAAAACCTTTACCCTTGAAATATATGTGAAATGTAATAATATAGATTAAAGGGATTCCAAAAGATTAATAAGTCTATTTCAGAATTTGCCTGATCCTATTGTTTTTTTGGATTCGACTTTGATAAAATCTTGGTTATTCGCTTTTGTTAATGTGATTTATATTAATCAAATACTTTTTGAAAAGCTTTATCTTATTAAAAATTCGAAATCAAATTAAGATTTTTAAAAAATTAAGAAAAGTAACATTATAATATTCAAAAAATAATAAGAAACATGAATTTATTTTTGATCGAAATATTCAATTCCGAAATTTTATATAAAAAGCTCTATTTTACCGAATAGGGGGTTAATGCTATAGGACTCTATGCCTGCTATTTTATTTCCAAAAAAACCCCCCCCCAAATTAAATTAAAATGATATATTGAGAATGCGATAGAGGAAATATGCTAAAATGCTAATGTGCTGTTAATAGATTAGTTGGGTAGACTTGGTCGGTTTTGAAACATTTAGCTCGATTCTGGTGGCGCAGCAGCGTAATAGAGGATCACAGGGCACGAAGCAATTCATTTAAGAGCCAAAATATTCAGATAATAATGTAAAAATATGCGCGTAAAACTTCACCAAGGTTATGTTTAGTCTTTTGACGTAACTTTCTTTTACTTTTTCTAAAATTTAAAATTCATTTTTTCAAATATTCGCTATCGACAATCAGATTGACAAACCCGGTTATACGAAAGACGAAAACACTAGGTCTAAGGTCTAAAAAAAAAGAAAGAAATCAAGAAGAAAGAAAAGTACGTATGATACACAATATTTTACAATTTTGAATACTATTTTACATTGCTTCGAGTTGAAGGCTGTCTATCTTACACTACGTAAAGTCTGTGTTATGCAATTCTATAATTATTTATGTCTATGGTGTGAAATGAGTCAAATTAACTTTGCGAAATTCGAAGTGGAACAAAGGTGAAGTCGTATCGCAGGGCGGCAGTATGTTTGTATCTTTAAAAGTTTTCGTCTATTGATACTTCCATCTCTGTGTATGTGAAAGAGAAAAGCCCGTTAGCAAAAAAAAAGATAGTAACGTCAAAAAACAAAAACACAATCGCGCAACTTGTCAGATAGTGTGAAGAGGACCTACCGTAGAATCTATAACCCAACGGTCTGGCCTCGCCGACATTATAATTATAGGCCGGAAATCTTTGCACATCCTGTGGTGGTAACGATTGATAGTACTTGAAGTGTTTTCTGTCGAATCTGATCTCCTTCAAACTCCGAAGGTGCTTTGAGTACTTGAATATATGTTCCAATGTATCCGCATCCATCTTCGGTAAATAATACAAAGCCAACACGTTTAACGAGGCGCCGCACTCCTTAAAGAAAATCTGTAGGTCACGTATGGAAACAGAAAATTTTATTCCGAAGTAACGTAGGGAAAGGGGAATCGTTTGAGCCAACAGTTTGACATTTTCGTTTGTGTATTTGGGTTCTTCGGAATTCTCAATTGCCAAGTGTTCAAGTGCTAATCCCGAGAGTAACGTTATGAATCTAGGGAGTTGTGCAGCCGTTATTTTTATGCAGAGGTGAGTGATCTTGGGGCAATACTGTTCTATTGCATCTAGAATTTCCGAAGTGACGCTCTTCAGTGAAAGAGTCTTTAGATTCTGATTCGACATTTTAAGGATCATCGAGATTATTTGTGGCGAGGGTTTCTCGTCACCACAGTAAAGATTTTTAAGAGGAAGACGAGCGGTAAGGGTCGAGTCGAAGACCTCATCCTCGAAGTTCGTGGCCTGCGAAAATTCTAGAGTCTCTAAATTTGGGCAACTCAGTAGAAGACGGTGCAAAAGATTGAACTTCTTTAGCCACGTGACCCTCAGGAACGTCAGGTATTGGGCTTTGACCGTGAGAGTGTCATAAATGAATAGAGCGGTTAGCTCGTCGATCACCAGGCTTGATAGGTTTGTCTGTGATACAATTAATTGCGACAATGCTTGACACAATTGTTGGTTGTGATGAGCCTTGGCCGGAATGAAGAGTGACAAATGTTTTATGCTCTTTGTGGAATTTGCGATGCTCGTAAATAAACTTGACCAGGCGGCGAAAGATTCGTTGTCACGATAGCTGAACGCTTGGAATTCAAACGTTTTTAGTTTCGACAGGGAACGAGAAAACGAGGTGTACAACTTTATGTCGGTAAAGTATTGATAGTTGATTATGTTCCCGAATCCTCGGTAATACTTGAATATGCGGAGACCGTTCGACCGATTGAAGAGCATGTTACCGATAAGCTGTTCAATCAATTCCATGTTCTTTATGAGATGAGGCGGCATCGAGCAATAATTTCCTTCCACCCATTTCTCGATAGCTTCGGTAAAATGAAAGAAGTCGAATCCTTGCATATACTTTGGATAGTCGAAGAATGGTCTCGGCAAATCGGGTACTTTCAGACCGTTTTCAAGCAAAAGTTTTTTCTGATTGTCATCCAAGCAAGAAATGTAGGTGCGTATGAGTCGAAATCTATATTTGTTTGGATATTCGAAGGGCCGACGCCACAACAATGGGATGGCAAGCCGACAGAAGAGTCGATTGACAAAGATACACGAATAGAGAGTTGATCTGTCGTTTTTCAAATGTTCTAAAATTTCCTCGAGACATTCGATCAATAGGGTCGGGGGAACATGCGGTTTACTCTTTGTGAAAGAAAATCTCCTGAAGAGTTGTAAGACACTTTTGACTTCTATTTTTTTTTTTAGGTGAAAAACAAGAGGCATATCTGTCATTGGGTAAGCTTGGGTTGTTCGGACTATAACAGTTTATAGAAATGAAATTCAGATAATCATGCAACTTTGATCGGCGGACCGAGACTTACCAAAACCCATGGTTCATGGAAAATTTTTTTTTTTTTTTTTTTTTTTTTAATTGGGAATGAATCTTAAGGTCGGTAAAACGAGTGATTTCTTTATCATGCGTGGTCTATTTATCGATTTCTTTTTTGAAAAAAAGAGGGACCGAATTCGCCACAAATACACTGATAATATCACTAAATACGGCCTTTCATCTGTTACGACATTGTTCTGCAGAACAAGGAATGCATCCTTTACGTGACACACATTGTGTGGCGTCATTTACATATTGGTAATATTCTTTTTTTTTTTTTTTTTTTTTTTTAAGAGGCAACGGGTTAAAAAGAATTGGAAAGCCAATTTATGATGAAATTTATATATATATAGGTGGAACAATATGATTATTTCAACCCTTGGGTGAGGACGGTTGGCGAAAATCTGACATCAAAGATTCTCCCACCATGGCAGAAAAAGAAAAGGTACAAAGCCATTGTTCGCAATAATAGGGTTTTCTCTTTTTTGAATTTGTTTGATCATGTGATGTAAATAGATGATCAAATTCGGAAATTCGAGTGTGTGGAACGTGTGCGTGGGGAAACGTGAATTAAAGAAGAATTGTTTGGTAATGCATACAGGTTATGAGGTGCAAAGACTTTTTGTTTCTTAAGGAGGCTGAGATTTCTTGCGATGACATACCCTCGACGCACAATCATTTTACAATTCCATTATTTAATATCGAACGAAATATTTCCTTTTATTATTATATTAATACAAACAATAAACAGGAAGATACTATCATTATTTGTTAACCTAACTTGGCCTTTTGTTTGTTTGCCACATTTCATTTACACATATCGTGTATCATCCACTTTGTTTGTATATTGATTATATGAATCGTGAAGGTATTCGGGCTTAAAGGGAGCATTCTTACGCTAGGTTTCCGAGATCAAGATTTCATCCTTTTTTTTTTTTTTTGTACAACGCCCAAACTCGCTGCAACCAATGGATGGTCGAATCTCTGCATTATAATTGGGCGTGCAGTCAATCATCGAATAGTCAACCAAAGGAGATAATATACAAGAAATAATGCCGGAGAAAGTTGAAACATCATTGGAAGGGCTTTACATTGTTGATGATTTCGTTACGAAGGACGAAGAACGTGAATTGATCAATATGCTTGATTTAAATGCGTGGTGCGGACGAGGAATAGCGTATGTGTCAATTATGATTAATGATTATCGGATTTCTTTTGATGTCGACTTCTTCCAACCATATCTTCGACGCAAATTTTCCAAAAAAAGTCCAAACCCAGAGATGAAAAGACGCACTCAACATTATGGATACGAATTCAGTTATAGATACAGGTGATGATGATTCATCTCAAATGAATGAGTTCGATCAAATGATTCGACCTAATTGTGCCTTCTGACGTCCAGAAAAGTCATGAAAGATCTGGGTCCACTACCTGATTTCCTGAGCTTCATAATCCAACGGTTCGGTGACCAAGAGATTATTCAGGATGCCAAAGATATGCCGAACATGTGTATCGTAAATGAGTACGATGCGGGGCAAGGTGATTATGATTATTACCTTTATTATTGTTGCTTGGTAATTATTACGAAAGTGTTAAATATATTGCTTTGGCGTCACTTTGTCTACACCTCGTCCTTTCTCTTGAAATCGCATAATGGTGCTTCATAGGTATTATGCCTCATACGGATTCGGCAACATTGTTTGGACCGGTAATTACAAGTCTTTCGTTATTATCTCCTTGTTTGATGAGATTCACGCACACATCGAATTCGGATGACGAATACATAATATTGTTACGTAAGTATAAAAAAATTTTTTTTCCGTTTGTTTCTTTTTTCTAATTAGAGTTAGTTACATCTACGCAGTTCACTCGAAATCCTTATGTATTATGTAATTATTGGGCCCATCCAATCGCACATTCCTTTCTTATTAAAAATACTTTATTTTATTTAGGTCCTAGATCTTTGATGATAATGACACGGTCGTCGAGATATGATTACAAACATTCTATCTCAAAAGATCTTATTGAATACTTTGAATGTTCTAAATCTGTGGAAAAGAAGGAAACAATGGAAATAGTGAGAAGTAGAAGAGTTAGTTTGACATTTAGAACTATTGTAGCACCTCGCGAAGATGGTTGTTGCAGCGATAATTGTGACGAAGGAGCAAGGCAAAAAGTAGGCTAACATTGTGAGTCATTGACACAGCCCTTGTCCGACTTCCTAGGACCACCGGGGGTTCTTCACTTTATTCCAATTCACATCTTATTTCGATTCAACCTCTTCCAATCTATTTCCCTTTTATTTCTCATCCCGAATCCCAGCTTAGCTTCCAGGAGCCTCCTACCAACTCTACCGGGCATCACGTTAACCCCTTTCCATTTTCTCGTCAGCAACCCCTTAACCTTCGTATCCTCGTCAAAGTAACAAAATTCCATTATCTTGGCTAGCGCGACATCATCATCCTTCTCAACACATTTTTGTCTTAGTAATTGAAAGTGATCAAATTTTGGAATTTGAGTCATCGACAACTTTTGCAACAATCTTATACCTCCCCAAATATCTCCACATCTATAAGTAGAGTGACCTTTGATAAGTAAGTAGTCGATCATTGTTTAAAATCAATAAAAAATCGAGCGCACTTCACCTTGCCAATACATTGATCATAACCTTGTAAGTTTCGTATTCCATCTCTCTAGTTCTACCTAGTTTTCTAAGTTCAAGACCTTTACTCTCGCAAGAATTTTCTTGACCATCCCACCAAGTTTGCCAATCCTGCCAGATACCCCACGCCACATCAATCTTCTTGTGTCTATAACACGCGTTCAATAAAGTTAAAAATATCCATCCGTTAAGTTGAATATTATATCTCGGCATGGTGTTTTTATAATGTTCCAAAATTTCATGAAATTGTCCTTTCTTTTCCAAAATCGATAAATATGATTTAAACAACCTTGGTGATAGGTTAACGATCTTATGATTAGAATACTTGTATATCGAACTATATTCAGGTTGGAAAGACTTATCCGTCAATGATAATAGATAGTTAAATAAGATCTCAGACTCCACGAGAGTTTGTTTATGAGTTGCTGGCGGATTTTTTAATAAAGGAAAGACATTCGTTCCAATTGTCAATAGGTCATACTTGCTGTCTGAGATCGCAACTTTGTCGATGTCACCATTATCTGCGACGGCGTCTATCTTAATTGATGGCATATCGTTTTCTTCACTTTTATTTGGTTCCTTGACATGCGATTTCTCTTCTAGAAGAGAACTCCCTGCTTCCACCCTTAATTTGCTCTCCAATTGATTTAAATGATTCTTTGGTTCTTTGTGAGAACCGTAGACCAAGAATAAATTTGTGAACGTGATGTCATCCGGTTCTAGCGTTGGATCGTGTAGTGATCTGCAATGGCGATAAAGTATTTAAGTGAGAAGTCCAAAATGGCAAGGCACAGATAAATTACCTTTGTATCATTGATATTAACAGTTTTCTAGCAGTATACAAATCCCCCCTATGTGAACACGCGTAAAACAGCGAATTATACGTGTATATATCAAGATCGTATCCATGATCTTTCATATCATCGAGCAGTTTGAATGCATCTTCGTAATAGTGTAAAATTTCGGTATGCATGTTAAGAAGTAAAATATCAAGGTTCATGAAAAAGTCCACTAATTAGTTAAAAGGATATCTTTACGATGTGCGCAGGCATCAATCATCGAGTTGAATGTCACGTCAGTCGGAAATAACCCCTTATTTGTCATCTCGTGATACAGGTCGAAAGCTCGCTCGACATCTCTGGTCTAGACTTAAAAGGGTTAAACAAATAAGAAAAGTGTTTGAAACGCGATCTCGTATAATAATATTTGCACCTTTGCACAGGAATGAATCATCATACTGTAAGTCACTTCGTCAGGTTGACAGATTTCTAACCGCATGTGATCAAACGTTTTCCAAGCACGCGACGTTTCACCATTCTTTATACACCCCTTGATGAGCATCGAGAGAATTGGCTGCCGAGAACCTTTTTTTAAATATGACGACTCAATATCTCTAAGGATTACACGATCAAGATATCGCTTACTTGGTTGGGCATTATCTTTGATCTTTTCATTTCCGAGTAAACATTAAATGCATCATCGATACGTAGGTTATTGACATATCCCTTGATCAAGTTTGCATAGCTGTACACCGTTTGCGTCAGTCCAGCTGTTCATTCCGATACATGGACTTTTGAGTCTAGAATTTTCTTCACCACCACACGAATAAACCATGAATTTACCGGTTTCGATCATTTCAAATACGGATTTTGTCTTTTCCATGTCTCCAACGCTCGCATACACATTGATAAGTTGTTCGTAGGTATTAATATCAGGCTCGATACCCGCTTCCTAAATGCAAGTTTGATGAAAAGACGTGTAATAACATAGCAACACGATTTATTTCCTACCCTCATTTTTTCCATCGCATATTCGGCTTCTCTTACGCTCTTCTTCAAGGCCTAGTTATTTGGTTAGTATTGGCTTTAGTTATTCTATTTTTTTTTTCTTTTTTTCTTTCTTTCTTTAAACCCTCCCCCAAATTTGAATAACATTCAACTTACACAGGCGTATATTATTTTGTTGTACTCTCGAAGTTTTAAATTCTTCCGTTTTACCAGCAATTCCATCAAGGGAGCCACACTATTTTCGGCGGATTGTTTGATCTGTCGAGCCGACGGAAATTCTGGTTGATCCACGAACAACTTAAGCTCCTGAGTTTCGGGGAATGGTAAATTGAATCCTTCGTCAACCACGTAATCGGACGGCGGAAGTTGTTTCTTCTTTGATGCGTGTGTAAAAAGAGGCGATGACAATTCTTCGTATATATTTGTGAAATCTTGCTCGGTAAATGACGGTTCGTCGGTCTGTTCAGATTTTAGGTTATAAAGGTTTTCAAAAAAAAAAGTCTTGGATAAAAATTTTCCTTTTCACCTCTGTCGTCGCCTGTTTACTTAAACGGGTCATTTTCCGTTCTAACATGTCCACTTCTTTCTCAACTTTCAAAATTTTCTCTTCGAGTTTCGTCCTATTTTTGCTAGTTCATCCCCATGAAATCAATCAATCAATTGGGTTGTTGAAAGCACAATTGCATAAAAAATTTACCTCCTCTTTTTCCTGGCGTTACTGTGGCAACGAGGATGGATCAAAGGATTTATAAATAAGATTCTCCTTGAATTGTGTGAAGAAATGGATGAATGATAGACCAAAGCATTGGGACGATTATAAAATAATGTAAAAACGTTAAATCTTGATCTCAAAAACATTGGTGAGTGTGTAAAGTTTTTTTTTTTTTTTTTTTTTTTTTTCAAGTCAAATTTTCCTAGTACAGGACCAAAATCGATCGTCGATTAAAATTTCGGTGAGTATAACGTATACTGTACTGTATGTCAGGCGATTATATTACATCATCACACGTGACATTTTTCAAGATTTACGACAGTATATGCTGAATATTTATAAGATATAAAATAGAATATGAAAAAAAAATATTTGAAGAGAATAACAGAAAGGAATAAAAAAACTTATGGATAAAAAAATGAAATGAGAGAAAAACTTTGTAGGGATAAAAAGAGGCAATGAAAAGAACTTGAAAGAAGATCGCAAAAAATAAATATTGATGAGTATTTTTTTTCATGATATAATTAGTTTCTGTAAATTACTGTACATTATCAAGACCAATGATTAATGATTGTTTTTGCGGTCTTATTTTGAATCTCTGATTTTTTCTCATTCTTCGTAAGGTGCATCATCAAGATCTGCTACGTTATAATCACGACGTACGTATCTTTGTTATAACCACCTCTATGTGTTTCAACATAACTAACACTAGCATAATCAAGGGAAACAATAATAAGGCTCAGCAGGTATATTTGGCGGTATAAAAGTTATGAAGTTGCATTGATAATCTTCCTCCCAAACACAACAATCATCTGTACATAAATAAAAATTAAAAAGAATATATATAATATCAAATCACTCATGAAATTTAGCTCAATAAGATCCGATAAAATTACCTTCAGAGTCACCACCCCAATTCCTAAGTGAACCTCATATGCTATATATATTATTAAATAAATTAAATCACTGTATTTGGAAACTAATAAATATTTCAGAGCTTTTTACCTTTAGTGGCTGGCATCAAAGCTATGATGCTACAGATGGTGACAATGATAATATAAGTGAAAGAAATAGGATGTCGCATAGTAAGTTTAATAATTTTTAATAGGCACTTTTCTTTTTTATTTATATAAATTTGGAAGAATCACGTTGTTAGATTGAATACATACAAGCTAAAGAAGAAAGATGAGCATTTGCCATCTTTGCAGAAATCTATAAATTTGAAAAATATGCTAGACATATGTTGAACATTTTGAAAAATATTGCAGGAGTATTTCTGTTGTCTATCATAACTTGATGTTTATGATCTATTAAACATATGTTAAAAATACAAGAAAATCTGTTGAACATCACTCGAACATATGTTATAAATACAGTATAACCGAAAAATTTAATCTTCTCGCGAACATATGTTTACTTTATATAAAACACCCTACACCGAACCGCATGTATGCTGATCACTAAAATACGGTCAACTCTCGATAAAATATTTACAGTACGATCATCAAAAATTTTTCGGGTCCGTTCACTCGATTTCGAAAATCCAAAACTTTTTTTAAACGTAAAAAGTTGTTACATAATAAACTTTTTATTCTATTAATTATATCGCCTTTTGCGTATTAATTAAAGTTAAATTAAACAATGAAATCTATATACTTTGAAATTTCATTACATTAAATTAGACTTTTATTATTAACATTTAGGCTTTACATTTATACTAATTTTTTTTTTAATTTTTGAGTTTAATTATAATATATAACATATTAAAATTAATGTTTTAATAGATAATATGCTATATGCTATTAAGTAATCTTGTTTATCATGTCTTTGTTTACATGTATATTAAATTTTATTAATTTTTACCAAATACTTAAAAATCTACTCATTAAAATATAATTGTTATCAATAAATGGTTAAATTTATCATTAATTTATAATCATTTTTTCTTAGAAAACCTTTTATTTTATTAAGTAAATTGATTTTAATTAATTATGTAAATATAATAATTACAATGAATTCTATCTATAGTAAAATTTTTATTTAATTTTAATTAAAAATAAAATTTATAATTAAACAATATACTTCAATTCAATTTAGTGAAAATTCTACTAAATATAGAAAATACTATTAGAAATATATTTATTTAATAAAAGTAATTTTTTTTAACCTGCTATCAGACTGACAAGGCCTATCTTTATTTTATATTTAAAATCATTATACAATTTAAAAGACTTTTACATGACAACTCATCCATATTAGAAGTTTATCTTCTCTAAATACAATTTAGGGTAATCTTTTAATAACTTGGATTATCATTTAGCTATCAAGTTCATTGCTTGCAAGTCATTACTATAAAGTTAATAAAAATATATTTATATAATAAATAAATTATTTTATATATAGCTATGATTATAAATAAATTATAAAATAATTTTATTATTTTTTAAGAATTATATTTACAATTTATATAATATAATATTTATTTAATTTATATAAATAAACATATATATAATATAATTTGAGACCTATGGGGAGCTACTCTTTCTGCTGATTCTCTAATAATATATAAAAAAAAAGTCCACAAGAAGTTTTTTTTTGCTTCTTTGCTAAAAAGTCTTAAACACTTTTCTTAAAACTCTTTGAAAAGTGACTTTAAGAGTTACTTCTACCCTTCTTTACTTATTTACAATCTTCTTTAATCAAAAACTTGACTTCTAATAATCAAGAACAAGTCATGTAACATCTTTAATACCAATGACAAGAAAGTTTCCAAAGAAAAAAGAATCAATATTAAAGTACATAAAGATCTTCTTCATCTTTGAAGTGTGAGATATGTATATAGAGATTTTTAATGACAGAAGAGTTTATTTTTTTTTCTTCTAATTACTTGTAAGCCTTTTAAAACTATTACTATTAGGATTTTCTGAGGAATTTTGCCTACCTTAATTTGACCTTGAATTTTTGATAGTACAAATCCTCACCAAAGGTGATTAATTGATATAAAATACATTAGGTTTAGTAAAAATAAACAAGTTTCTATTAATTATACTTATATGTTTCTATTATATTATAGATAATATAGGAAAGAAAGTTTTAAAAAAAGTTTTCTTCTAACTATGTATATTCTATTCCAGGAAACAATTATGGCATCAAAAGGTATAATGGATTTGTACAAAGAAATTCTATCTCTTTTCTAAGTTCCTTAAATAAAGAAAAGATTTTTTAAGGTAGAAACTGAGGTTTTTTAGTTTCTTTTGGATGATTTTAATCCAGTGAACACTTAAATGAATATTTATCTAATACTATAAATAATAACAAAGAAGACTCTTTCTGAGATTCAAATGAAATAAAGAAAAATATCACAATCAGACAAAACTTCTTTTGAAAAGAGGTTGTAAAATGAAATAAAAATCTTTTGGAAGGCTTTAAATTGTTTTTTATTTTCCCCTTTCCTAGTTTTAACTTTAGCAAATTATCATTTTTTGGAATAATTAACAATGACAAACTGTTGGCAATGATCCTAATTAACTTAGAGATACTATATCAAGCTATTAGAAAAGTATAATATTGTCTCCTAAATCTGACTTAAAGTACCTAGTTGAAACTTAATTTTGTTAATTCAAACTAGCTTAATGAACACCTCATATTTTTTAAGTAATATAGTTCTTAACTAATAATGTACAAAGGCAAGTTAATCATTATATGTGAAAGTCTACAGATTATTTCAATATTTTTTTAAATATTTTAATAAAAACAAGCTATCTGGATATAATTGCAATTAAAAAAAAAATAATAATAATTTGAAACTTGTGAATCAATAACATAGTGGTAATGCTTCCAAATCACCAAGTATTGTTTTTAAATTTAATACTACTGTGAGACAGTATTACCTAAGTCTAAATAGTATAGGAAAATTATATTCATTTTATAATAATTATTATTATTACTTGTAAACAAGATCCTATCTGATTACAGAATAATCAAAGATCACAAAATACTTTAGTTAGTTTTAGTACTAAACACTAGTTGAAATTATATCATTTGGCAGCTGAATTATTACTGAATTTAATTAATTTTAATAATAAAAATATTGCCAAATTCTTTTTGATTGCTGCCACTCAGCATATTACATTTTGACAATAAAGTGACAATCAAAAATTCAGCAATCAAAAACTCGGCAATTAAAAATTCAGCAATCAAAAATTTGACAATCAAAAAATTCGGCGATCAAAAATTTATTAATTAAAAGTTTAACAAAAAATTCGTCAAAAATTCAATAACTATTCAACAAAAATTCATTAAA